GTGGTTCAATGCAGACGAGAGGAAGAGACTAGGAGAGAACAGAGAACGTCAGGGTGAACCCAGAGAGAGTGAAGATTCGCTGGAATCTTCACTTCAGGGGCCTGGAATAGCTGCCAGCCTCCTGGCCTCCCAGGCCTCCTGCCTGCCCTGCCCTTGGTTGCCTCCTTTGTAAATGCTGTAGAGAGACATTAAAAGTCTGAAAAAGCCACTGAGGGCTTTAGGACGCATCTTCTCCCATCTGCCTGGATCGATAGAAAACCTGCTCTGTGCCTTCCTGCCACAACACTGTGGTACTAAGAGGTGTTTTTATTTTTGTTTTCTAGGAGATATTTTATTTTACCATCACTACCTGTTGGATCACTTTTCTGCTTAAGTGGGTTCTTGACCATACTTCCCTGAGAAAGGAACTATTCACCAGCTAAAGCAAACAAAGCTGTACTTGTTTAGGAGTAACCCAGGTATCAGTGTTGAGCAATCAGAGGTCATTTAATTGTATCGTTAAAATCAGTCCTATCAAAACAGTAAATGTGGCTAATGAATCTGTTTGCTCTCTTGCTGTCAGCCAGCTAGGCAGGCTGTGCCCTTCTACCCTATCATTCATCAAGCTGAGTTCATGCCCTGTCCTGGCTCTGCTGCCTTGGCTGGGGACATGTACCAGGAGCCCTGGAGCAGACCCAAGTGCTCTCCCCACTGGGAGCCCACCTTCGAGTCTGGCTCCATTGGGGTCAGGGAGCCTTGGGAGGTGCTTGAGTAGGCACCCTCTGAGAGGATAGCATTGTTCTGTGGCCAAGGTGTGCAAGGAGGAAGATGCAGAAGTACATGGTTCTTTTTCTGCCCAGAACTCCTAGTTTTGTTGTGGAGGTAGCACATTTTTTTTTTTTAGAATTTTTTTTTTTTAAGATTATTTATGCGTACAAGAACTGGGTACAGGCCAGAGGTGTGGGGGGTGAGATGATTCACCAGTGACAGAGTGGGGAATAGAACAGGCAGACCAACTGAATACACTGCTGAGGGGAGAAGCAGAGGAGTCAGGAGAGTTCTGCTGTGCCATGTGGGTAGCTCCCTGGCTGGGGATCGAACTCATGCTGCAGTGGCTGCAGAGAGCTTCATGGGTTGCATCTTACCCCTTGCGCCACAGAGGGGCCTGAGGTAGCGCATCTTAATTATACAAATGTTGGCTTTTTAAATTGCCAATTTAATTAGACACTAAAATGTGAGTACTAAGCTGAAGTAGATGTCCTCCAAGGTCACTGCCTGGAGAAGAATAGTTTTGGTCTCCAAAGGTATGATTTTTTGTTTGTTTGTTTGTTTTTAAGGGCATGCACTAAGAGGGGCCAGCAGAGGGCATAGGTCAAAGACAGACAGAAAGGATGCATCTTACTGGTACCTGGTGGGGGAAATGGTTCGGTGAGCAGGGCTGAAGAATGCAGGGCTGGTGCTTGTGTTGCTCTCTCCCCTTGGGTTTGACTTTATCTCAGTTTCAGAGGATCTGAAAGCAAACCCTTGACTTCCCATCTTTCTTCCAACTAGCTTGTTTCAGCAGTACCACCAATCTCTCAGGCACCCAGACCTGAAACTGAAGAATTACCTTCTGATCGGTCACCAACACCTGGTTAGTCTTCCCTGAGTGTCTTTCATAAGTTCATGCTTTTGGTCCTGGTGCACTGCCCCACCCTTGGAGTTCCATGGCACCATCCTGGCAGCTTTTTATCTTCATACTCTGTCTGCCTGCATGTGCCCCAGGGCTCATGTGTTGTGACCAGTTTGGCCTCTGTTCAGAAAATCCAAGTTCCTTCCTTTTACATCTTAGGAGATACCATCTCAGAGGTTTTCAGAGCTACCTATGACCTGTGGTCAGGCCCTAACCCTGTTTCTCAGGCTTCTCTGAAGAGGCTCCTTCACTCTGTGAGACATAGAACCTGAGAGTGACCTAGTTGCTCCCTCTGGAGAAGTAGGGAAACTGAGGCTCAGACAAGGAAGCACAAAACATTAACTGCATTCCAGAACTGCAGCCATGACCCTCAGCAGCTCAATTCATTTCTTTCCTACTTTTATTTAAGTTCTTCTCCCCCACTATGCTCCTTCCTACCTGGAGGAATTGGGTGGTTTGAAGTGACATTTACTGAGGTGGGGAAGATTGGGAGAGGGGTGGAGATTAAAATTTCTAGTTTGGACATTAATTGTGAGTTGCTCTGTGACATTCCGAATGTCAATTTTAAGAAGGTAGTTTTATGTATTGTTAGGAACCCACAGTATAGATCTGAGTTGTGGGTAACTGGGAGTCACAGGTATGTATGGAAAAAAGCCAAGATAATAGGTGAGATCACTCTGGAAGAAACTAGTATGTAAAGGAAAGAACGTGCAAAATTTGTTTTATTTAGGGGTTGAATAGAAAAGGAGGAGCTGGCAGAAGAGTGAGAGAAACTGGTAGTAAAATAGGAAGAAAATCAGGTCCCTGCTATGTCACAGAATCCAAAAGAAGATAGTGTTTTAAGAAGGAGGGAGGAATCAGTTCTGTGGAGACTCCAGGTAAGATGAGTAACTACGGATCACCACTGGGTAAAGCAAATGGAGGCCATCAGTGACCATGGCAAGGGCGGCTTGGTGGATGGGGGTTCAGGTCAGCCTGGAGAGGACGTGGGGCTTGTGTGTGTTTAGAAGTGTGTCTTTAGAAGTCCTTGTAGCCACAGACACCAGTCTGTTGTTCTTTCCATTTAGAATTCAGCCCTTGGGTTCTCTTGGTGGTGGTGGTCTTTCAGCGGTGATAATAAACCTTGAATATTAGAGCTGGAAGAGATGAGGTCTGTGGGTGAAGTGGGATGCTCAGGTTAATACTAAACCTGTGGAAGAATTAGATTGTGATGAAATGCAACTTAGGTTATGCAAAAGAGATATGCAATTACTCTCCTCTCTCTCTCATCGAGATAAAAGAACCCTGAGAGCAGAGGGGGTGTGCTGTGTACATTGTGCGCACTACCCAGCCCACTGTCACTATTTCTTTACTCCTGGACATAGATGTTTCCTGATAGTGTAGGTGGCCACTAAGGTGCTGTGTGTGATGGGATGGTCTGCAGTCACAGGGGCACTTCCTGGAAGAGCTGCAGTGACTGTGCCTTTGTTCTGCAGGTGGTTTTGAAGCCTCAGAACAGGAAAGGGCATTTTTAAAAATTGTCTTCGATTTTGAGAGACTGAGGCTGATGCATGTCAGTATTTTGACTGCACAACCTCAGCTACCCACAGCCAGTCTTGTGAATATGGCCGTGCTGAGGGCCCATGGTAGATTTTTCAAGACTATAGGGAGACTGCCTTAGGCCTTTCTACCTAATATAGTTAAGTGTACATTTCTTGTTTCAAGCCATTTCTTGAGAGCAGACTGGGGTTGTGTTGTATACAGATCCTTTTTCTGATCTATTACTCATGGCTAATTTTTTTAAAAATCATAACTCATTGGAGGCCTCCCTAGTGGTGCAGGCGGTTGAGCGCCGCACTGTGAAGCTGTCTGCAGCCTCTGCAGCACGGGTTCTATCCCGGCCAGCCGGCGAGAATCCCACATGGTGAAGCAGATCTCTCCTGTCTCGCTTGCTGCTCCCTTAGCAGTGTATTTTGTCAGTCTGCCTGTTCTGTTCCCCAGTGAATCCTTTGTCTGTCTCTGGTGAATCCTCTCACCCTCCCGCACATCTGGCCTGTACCCTGGAACTTGTATAAATAAATAAATAAATAAATCTTTTTAAAAAATCATAACTCATTGGTATCTAGATAGAAAAGTTTTAAAATTTATTGATGACTTTTTTATAGGAATGATTTTTAGAAATTCTGATGTGAAAATGTTGCTTTAATGTCATTCTATATATAGGTAATTCTTCTTTTTTTTTTTTTCTTAAAAAAAAAAAAAAGAAGGTGGGAAGGTGAGAGGATTCACCAGAGGCAGAATGGGGAACAGAATAGGCAGACGACAGAAATACACTGCTGAGGGGAGCAGCGGGCGCAACAGGAGAGGTCTGCTGCACCATGTAGGATTATCGCCAACTGACCAGGACTGAACCCACACTGCAGAGGCTGTGGACAGCTTCACAGCGTGGTGCTCAACCCACTGCGCCACTGGGGAGGCCCTATTTTTCTTTTTTCACCTGAGATGCAGTCAAATCAGTTTTTGTGATGGTTTGGAGAGTCACAAAGTACTTTGTGAACTAATGAGTGCTGGAGCGTCTAGTCAGTCTTAGTAGTTCATTGTTAGCTGATCTCTGAAATAACTGAAAGCTTTTAAAGCTCCCCAGCAGCCTCACAAGGTCAAGTGGTAGTAAACCCATTTTGCTAATGGTGACAGTAGTGAGGGAATTTAAGGAATCTCCTCCAACTTAGGGAAGAGCAGGCCGTGGTCCTTTGTTCTAAGTGGAGGCTTCCCACCATAAGGCGACAGCTTTTCTCAGCCTCCAGTCTGTATTTTGCAGGGTTGTGCAATGATTTAGGATGTGGATTGCAGTTTTTGTTACTAAAACATTGTTAGCAATGTTCTAGGCCTTTGAATGAACAACTCAGCCATTCAAAATTGAGTCTGCTTCTTTGTTCTATTTAGGAAATACTCCAACATACTTACTTTGGAGGGCTTAGAGGAGATTATATGTTCTTTACATATTTTGAAGAAAAAGGTAGCCAGCTATTGATGGGAATTTGTAAACTGCTACATGATTCTCCATCCCCTGTCTGAAAGCTTTAGTTTATAATACTTGATAATTGTTTTGTCCTAAGTCAATCTAGATTGGAGGTCAGCGAGCATGATGAAGGCCATATATGACATACCCACAGCAAACATCATACTCAGTAGTGAAGAATTGAAAGCTTTTCCTCTGGGATTAGGAACAAGACAAACATGTCCATTCTCACCATTCCTGTTCAATATGGTGTCGGAAAGTCCTAGCCGGAGTAATTGGATAAGAAGAGACTATAAAAAGTATCAAAATTGGAAAGGAGAAGTACAACCATCATTTTTTGCAAATGTCATGTTAATACACAAAGAAAATTCTAAAGACTCTAGTAAAATACTATTAGAAACAATAAATACAACAAAGTGGCAGGCTACACAATATACAGATGTCTGTTGCCTTTCTGCATGCAAATAATGAACTAGCAAAAAGAGAAATCAGGAAAACAATCCCATTTACAATTGCATGAAAAAGTATTAAATATCACTTTGAGGTCAAGTTCTCTCTGGAAGGGGATGTCACTTCCTGATAAAAGGTCTGCAAAAAGCAACCAAATAAGAACTCCACATAGAAAAGATAAACCTGCTTTGAGAGACTGCAGCTTCCTGAGCCACTAACCATATAACTTTGAATACAGATGTTTAGGTAGGAGTGCTGGTGTAATTTTGGTTTCTTGAAGTGAATTTTTTTAGAGGAGATTATATGTTCTTTGCATATTTTGAAGAAAAAGGTAGCCAGCTATTGATGGGAATTTGTGAACTTATTTGTTGAAAACTGCAAGCTTTAAATAGGAGGGATTAGCATTTGTGGATTACTTATACCCCACAGAGATCATTCTTCAGGGAATGATACCACCATGTTACATCTTTGTGGCATGTTTACCTTGTTAATACCTACAACTTTTTTTATCTTGATTGCAGAGTTTGCGCTATAATTTGGAAAACACAGAAAAGTCAAAGAAGAAAAATATGCCTGTAATCCTTCTGCCCACTTAAAAGACAGTATGTGTGAATGTGTATTTTGTGAGTCTGTGTGTATATATATAAATATATGTATATATATTTGGGGTGATATTGTAGAATTTTTCCTCAGTTGCTTTTTTCACTTCATGTATGGTGAACATTTTTCCCTATTAGTAAAATATTTTGCTTTATGATATTTGTTGGTGGATAGACACAAAATTCCATGGAATGGAAAGGCAACACTTAATTAACCAATACCTTTGTATAGTCACTAACCATCTTTACAGATGGGGCTTTGTGAGCCTGTCTTTTCTTAGTGCACCATATAAATGCTGTTGGTTGATCACAGAAGTGTCAGAGAAGTCATAGCAGGTTCTTCTTGCTGAAGATACTTTAGATCTTGACACACATTGAAATCAGGCATAGAATCTGGTACTTGTCAGAAAAAAAAAGAAAGAAATCATCACCTAGATTGAATTGATCTATTTTTTTTTTTTTTTTTTTTTTTATAGAGGCATGTTTTTTATTTATTTATTTTGTTTGTTTGCTTGTTTTGTTTATACATGCACTGGGTACAGTCAGAAGCGCGGGAGGGTGAGAGAATTCACCAGAGCCAGAGCGGGGAGCAGAGCAGGCAGAAGGACCGAAGCACACTGCTGAGGGGAGCAGCGGGCGGCAGGAGAGGTCTGCGCGCCATGTGGGATCCTCCGCCGGTGGCCGGGGAGCAGCCGGGGATCGAACCGGCGCCGCAGAGGCCGCGGGCAGCTTCGCAACCCAGCGCTCAACCGCTGCGCCACCGGGGAGGCCCTGAATTGATCTATTAAAGCTGAAAAATCAAGCCTTTCAAATCACTCGAGAAGGTCAGAAGGAAAATGTTATGTTACAGGGCTTTGTAGCTAGTATTCTCACAGCTTAGTGCAAGGGTGTAGGGAATATTTTCATAGAAATGTTTCTCTTTTAAAGATTTTTTTCAGATAAAGAAGGCTTGTTTAATTTGGGAAGTTATTTCATAGGAAATTAAATCTTTGTAAATCCTCTATTCCATTTCCACACTTGCCAGTTCTCTTGCAAATGATGACTTTCGAATGTTTCAGGAAGGATTTCTTAAAAGGAAACAGTTCTATGTTTTGCACATGATAATTTTATTTTTGAATTGGATAGGTAAGTGAAACAGTGTTTTCTCTTTGTGTTTGTCTATGGGTCAAGCTCAAATGGTGATTTCTTGTGGTGATTTTGAAAAAATCTAGTGAGAATGTTTTCTTGGGCATCTGAATGACTCCAGAGAACTTAAATAACACAACCATTGATGGAGAGTTGTTGGAGAATTGCTGCTGCTTAAAGATCAGTAATTGTTACATCTTGGTTTGGTATGCTTGGTGGTGTCTAATTATGTCTTGTGCCTGGGAACCATGAAAGAATTTTCTTTTCAAGTCTTAGTGGATCATTTTTTCCAATACTGATCAAAGGTTTGAAAACTAGTATTATATACATAGCCATGGTATTCATAACTGTCTTACATTCTTAATCTTCTGGGCTATTTGCTTGAAATATATCTACGCCTCTTAAATATTGAAAGTATAATATCCTTTAACCTGCAACTGCAGAGTTAAAATCAATTTTATGTGAAATATTTAGTTGTGGACCACATCTTCAGCTTTTTATATGCCACAGTGGTCTTGTTTTTTTCCCCTTCCATTGTCTGATAGTGAGGTCATTTTCAGTCCTCTGAGAAATTCTATTCCCAGCCAGATGCGGCTCATATATTAAAAGTAGCACCTGTGGCTAATATCACAGCAGCTTACCATAAATTTACATGGTAACTAGGATTATATCTGTCAAGACTGTTAAAAAACATCTAGATTTAATTTGATTTCCAGTATTGTAGAAGCTATCCAACATTTTGCTTCATAACTATATTTTAAAAGTTAAAAATCACTCCATTGTTAAGTTTTATAGCACTCCTAGTGCCCATTAAGTTGATTTGTTCAATGGAGGTCAGAGAGAAGCAACTCGGCTACATTAAGATCGGAAACCAACCCATTTGTGACAAATTTAGTCCTTTCGTGTGAATCTTCTCAACGTCTCTGCACTGATTGGATTCAGGTGTAGCTTATGTCAGTAGCGTTTAACCTCAAAAGAATGAGCAATGTGATTGGGTTGTTGTAAATTATGGAGCATTTTGCCTTTGCTTGTTTAAACCTAACTGATGATTCTGCTGCCCATGGCTTGCGGCCCCACTGCATCTGCCGCTAAAGGAGGCGTGCAGGTTTAAAGACATCTTGGAGTATTGGGGTGCATGCCCTTGCCCCTTTCCCTCCTCTGGGTGACCCTTCCTAAACGGTTTTATTCCCTGTTATCCTTTGAGTCATCTCCCACATGTTAAGATTTGCACACCTGCAGTTATAAAATTATTTTGGGGTGTCATTATATCATGTTGTTCACCAACTTTCCAGCATTTATGAATACAATAATGATTCACTGTAAATCAAGATAATTTATACGTTATGGAGAATCTGCTCCTATAAGTAGGAATTGAATGATTAATTTCTTTGGTGTCCTCCCATTTGAACACGGGTCCTGAAAAAGGTAACTGGCAACATACTTCTTTCTGTTTGTCAATTGAAGTCCAGAACTGAATTAAAGTATAAGTTAACTTTCTCGACGTTTAGTATTTTAGGACAGGTAAACAAATATAAGCTAATTTAAAAAATAAACGACATCTTTCCTGTAATCAGTAGTTGCATTTGCCTTAGCGAATGGTCTTGCTCTCTGAGGGAGAGAGCTGTAGGGGTTGGCACTGAGGATGGGGCAGCCAGCAGTTCCTCAGCACAAGTCCATAACCTGAGTGGGCATGCTCACCTTACGTTGGAACTCCATGGGAAGGCCCTTTCTGCTCTGATGGTCATTTGCTGGAGGAAGGTTTGGAAGCTTCTTTGAACTTGACCTCAAAGTGGAATGGTAGCAAGAATTACTATGGTGAAAAAGTTGTGGTGATAGATAAAATGATTAGGGTGAGGTTAAAGTTATATACATTGTTATCAGGTATAATTAATCACTTCATGGTCTAAGAAAATGCTTTGGTGATCAGTTTGGAACCTTGTAAAATACTTTTTTTTTTCCGTGAATTATGACATCTCTTTATTTTACGCCTGGAATAAATTTAGCTCCTAGGATAACCTTGGTGCCCCCTGTGAACCTGGATTGCTGTGGTGGCTTCTACTTGGGCTTCTGTGGGGAAGAGTGACAATACAAGGTGGGTGTGCCCAGCACCAGTCTCTCTCTCAGCCTTTCTGGATTGTTTCCTCCTCTGCCCCCTTCACTTCTTACCAGCTCTTCACAGTTGACCTTTCTTGTCCCACCACACTGTGAGCTCCTTGAGGAACAGGGACTGTGTCCCAGGGTCTAGTGACTTGGCACAGAGCAGCAGAGTGGTAATCATGTACATCCCATACTTTCAGGAGCAGACTGTTAGGAAGATCCTGCATGAACACAGAGAAACATAAGAAATTGATAGCTTGTTTTTCTGACCACAATTTTATTCTCTTCAGTCTTCCTTGCAGTTAGAAGCACTTGTGGTTTTTTTTCCTGAAGGTGTCAGTTGAGTTCTGAAGTGAACAGGAACGATGAGATTGCTGATGCGGAGGCTGCCCTTGCCTGAGCCGCTTTCAAGATCCCTGGATTTAACCTGCAAAGGCCCCAGGAGCAGCATCTGTCTAAAACCATGACCTTAGAAGGCTGCTTTTGAGAATACAAATAAAACTTATTTAGAAAACCTGCTTACTGCAGAGAGAAGTATAATTTTCTCTCAACTCAGAAATGAGTTAAATCCTGAAATAATCTTAAAGTTGAAGTGTACTTTTATCATTCATTATTACCTTAAGTGGCTCAGCTATGGGAGAAGTGGCTAATTTAACGTCAAATAGACCAGTTGTATAAATAACAATATGTATAAAGTACTTTTGCATATATTGACTTATAAGGCAATATTTAGCTTGCTTCTTTTATAAGTAATGTTGAAAAATAAAACTAGTGTTAATTGCATTTTTATTTAGAATATTAAGCCACGCAGAACAGTGTTGTGTAATTGATTTCACAGATTATAATATATGAGTAAAGTATACATTTCTTCTAGTGAAATTGTCATTTGGCAAATTTTGGCTATAATACGATTGCTATTTGATGAGCAAATATATTCATTTTACGTGAAAAAATTTTCATTCATTATAGCAACAAACATTTAAATATATGCAACTTTTCCTTCACTAAATATGCAAAGATTTATTTTTTGAAACTTTGTTATAATGAGACCATGTTATATATAAATCTAATACTGTAATATTCTGGCACTGTAATTAAGAATGGCTTCTGCTGGTTAATGCTGGGACGAAGCAGAGAAGAAAGTTACAATACACTGCCTATTTACAAATTAACCATTACCTGCCAAAAGCACATCAGACCCACACAGCGGACATCCGCTAATCCAGCGGTTAGCCGTTCCGGGCTCTAATGCACACTGTTTTACACGTTAACGGTTTTGAAGTTCCAGGCCAAAGCTGACCTTTCACATGTGCTCCGTTCACAGTAGGAATCTCCACTCACTGCTTCCTGTCAGAATGGATTATGGTGACACAGCCCAGGGCTCACTTTGGCTGCAATTAAGTTTTTGATCAGAATTATTTCGTTCACAAACAATCACATTTGTTAAAATGTTACATCTGTCCTGAAAACCACTGGCAGCCTCTCAGTTTATCAGTGTGATGTGAGTGTAATTCTTCATTTGTTTTTCATAAAATGGCGAACCGTCTTATATATGTTACTTCATTTTTTTCCCCTCTTGCTGGTTTCTGCCTTTCATTTCGTTGGGTTTGGAAGGAAACTCTGTCTTGAAATTAGTGTGAATCTGCTCATAGGCTTTGGGAATTTGAAAGGAGTTGGTTTTGGTGCAGGACAAAATTATCCATTTGAGCCAAGACTGAACTATTATTTCCAAAAGTTGTTAGTAAAGATTTTATTTCTCACGCAAGGAAGCATTTTAGCTTTGTGAATGTGGGGATGCAGGTTTTGAGTCTCCATCCGCAATTCCTGTAGTTGTCTTTGCCTCTGGTGTCTGCTGCCTTTCAGTATCATAAGGCACGTCAGGACCCATCCCTGTGGCTGTCGACTTTGGGTGCTAGAAGTGAAACCAGCTGTGGCTTTATTAGCCTTGCCTCTCATTTCATAGTTTTTTGACTTAGTTTTTAAGTCATTTTCTGACTAAGATATGGTAATGGAGATCTACTGAATTTTTTTTTTCCACTGACTAACCATTTTATGTTTATATTATGGTGTGGGTATCAGTGGAACTTTTGGGTGGGTTTTATAGTTGATTTTTGCTGTGTCAGGTGTCACCCTTTTGTGAGCCCTCCCACTGAAGAGACTTGACAGAGTAGTTTTGTGTGTCGGGTGGGTACTTTGGAAGCATAGAAATAGATTTGACTAGGAATGGGAATTAACCTTTGACTTAATTTTGTGCGAGAGCAGAGGCTGGGAAGTTGAAGCTGAAGTTGTGTTGGGGGGAAGGGGAATAATAGAACTAAGAGGTTATGAAGCTAGAAACGCTTAAATGTTGTCTGAAATGCAAGCATTAGGTTTAGAAATTTTAATTACTTAAATAATATATATAATGCTATTAAAGGAATTTATTACCAGGTTTAAAAATATTGCATTAAAACCAAAACCATTTCACATTGTTTTGATGTAACCAAATTTGTTTACTACTAACTTACAAGTGGCAAAAGGGGTTGCACAAAAAAACTATTTAGCTATAATTTTTTTTTTTTTTTTAAAGATTTTTTTTTTTTTTTTAATAGAGGCATGTTTTTTCTTTATTTATTTGTTTGCTTGTTTGTTTTGTTTATACATGCACTGGGTACAGTCAGAAGTGCGGGAGGGTGAGAGAATTCACCAGAGCCAGAGCCAGAGCGAGGGGCAGAGCAGGCAGAAGGACCGAAGTACACTGCTGAGGGGAGCAGCGGGCGGCAGGAGAGGTCTGCGCGCCATGTGGGACCCTCCTCCGGTGGCCGGGGAGCAGCCGGGGATTGAACCGGCACCGCAGAGGCCGCGGGCAGCTTCGCAACCCAGCGCTCTACCGCTGCGCCACCGGGGAGGCCCTAGCTATAATTTTTAAAGCTTTTTAAATAAAGTAGGGACAACTTCTAAATTCATCAAAGTCTTTACTTGAGATGATATAAATACTGGCTATTTCATTTAACCTTCCTTTTTTTTTCCTATCAGATTTGGAAGCAGATTTTTCTTAAACTAAAGCCGTTATAAGCATGTTCTTAGTTGTAAAAAATGCTGTATTTGGAATATACTTGATCGTATTTACTGTTTAAAGGAAATACCTACCTAGAACCTTCCAAAAATAGGTACATTAAGTTTCTTTTAGCTGGTACTTTTCAGTAATATCCTGTTTTCTTAAAAAGTGGTAGACAAAGGTGACCAGACAGAATTTGTAACTTTATTACAAGCTTATGTTAATATAGTCATTGATTTTCTTATTTTCAGATTTTGTTGTTTGAGATTCTGAAATTTTTAGAGCTTTGTATCTGTAAACTGCTTTGCCCATGTAATACATGTGGGGGTCCTAGGAACCTCTTTGTCTTTGAAGGGGCGTTTACTGAAATGAAGCAGTCAGGAAAAGGAGTGAGGCAAAGTACCCCAGTTTATGCAAATCAAAATGAAAGTCACGAGACAACACAGGTTCTGTGCAGCACCCACCGTATGAGACATAGCCTCCAGACCTAAAACCTTCTGTGATCTAATTCTGTCTGTGGACAGACAGATAGTTGTGTCTTGGGTTCTGCTCTCACAATGTATGAAATGGAAAGATTTTTTTTTTTTTTAACAATTTTTTTTTTAAGATTTATTTATACAAGAACTGGGGTACAGGCCAGATACGTGGGAGGGCGAGAGGATTCACCCGAGACAAAGCGGGGAACAGAACAGGCAGATGACCGAAATACACTGCTGAGGGGAGCAGCGGGTGGCAGGAGAGGTCTGTCGCGCCATGTGGGACCCTCGCTGGCTGGCCGGGATCGAACTGGTGCTGCAGAGGCTGCGGACAGCTGCGTAGCGCTGTGCTCAACCGCCTGCGCCACCAGGGGAGGCCCCTGAAAGATAAATATAACATTTACTACGTTAACATTTTACTGGACCCTGTGAAAAACTTCTGAGGTCCAAAATAGGTCACTTGTGCAATAGAACTCTAGGTACTTCCCGAGTTACCATGAAAAACCAAACCCTCAAACCCTCATTTCCTAATATCATGGTTGTTGGATTGAGGGGGACCCAGTCTGCTATGAGAGAAACCTTTTTTTTTTAATTGCCAGGGAACACGGCAGGTTTCTGGTTACCACGTCACATGATGGGAAGATTCCCACCATCATTGGTCCACCCTTTTCTGCTGTGACAGGGAAGCCAAGGCTGAGAAGGGAGAGTAACTGTCCAAAGTAGGAACTCTAGGTCTCTACTGCAAGTAAAGTTTCCCTCCTCTGCCCATGGACTTTCTGTATCATAGGACTAATTGGGCACTTTTCCATTACATTCTGCATAGGCCAGAGAGATGTAAAATTAAATATCTCTTTTGTAAAGAAAATAAATTCAAACTAAAAATGGTCAGCCATGCTTTCCTGAACCTTGAGGTTGGGGCCAGGTAACGGCAGCAGTCCCTGCCAGGCCCAGCCATGTTTATCTTGTGAAGCATCCCTTTCTGGCTTTGCATTTCTTTTAGAACCATCCCCACTTTATTTCTGACTTCATGCCCACTCCCTGTATTCAAAGCTCTGCATATTTTTTGTTTTAGTATAACTCTGGGTTAATGACTACTCATAATTCTCATGGTTACCATGAAGAATACATTTCAGAACATCAGGGTAATAGTTCCCAAATTTGTACCGGGTGCTTGAGGTAAGAGTAGGCAGACCAAGAGGGTAATATAGACTCAACTCATCATGAGAATCTACCAGTATAATAATTTTGAAAACTTATGATGCAGACCATTTTGGTGCAAACTCTGTTCTTAAGCACTAAAGACAGATATAAGTAAAACACAGACTTCTTGGCTTTCTTTCTTTCTTTTTTTTGTGGGACACTCGCCTGTGGCCAGGGATCGAACTGACGCTGCAGAGGCTGCAGGCAGCCTCGCAACCCAGCACTCAACCGCTGCACCACCATGGGAGACCCTCTTTCTTTTTTTAAGGATTTATTTATGCATACAAAAGCCTGGGTGTAGGCCAGAGGTGTGGGGCATGAGAGGATCACCAGAGAGAGAGTGGGGAGCAGAACAGGCAGATCTACTGAAATACACTGCTGAGGGGAGCAGCAGGCAAGACAGGAGAGGTCTGCTGAGCCTTGTGGGTTAGCTCCCTGTCTAGGGATAGCTTTATTTTGCTGAGACTTAACTCCTTGTGCCCCCAGGGAGCCCCTTCTTGGCTTTCTTGCGGCCCCTCAGTGAGTGGTCTTCTCCGGGACATAGGGGAGTGAGTGTGACAGTTGGGAGGCATGGCCACAGAAACACTTTGGTCTGGAAATAGTATTTGAGTATGAGAACTCAGTTCCCATTTGCTTTGGGGATTTTTCCACAGTGTACACTGCTTGCATGTTGGAAGATCTAATAACAGTGTCCCTGCCATTTCAAGTTTGGTGGGTGGAGTGTTTGTTCTAACAGGTTCAATTGTGATGGTTTTGGCACAGCTGACTGTTAATACCTGAACTAATGGGTTGCTTTAATCGGTGCTTAGCCAAAGAAGACTTTATCATATTATCTAATGTTTTAACTGGGCAAAAACCCCACATATACAATTGCTCTTCTAATTTCGCCCCTGAAACACCACTATGTGTATATTGGTAGAGAATTCAAAGAATCTTCATGTTCAGAAAGTCTGGCTTAAAAAGAAATTTGGTATTCATGTCTGTCTCCTATGATACCAAACTATTTATATTAGTTCCTGAAATGTGAAAATTACCCATTGTATGTGAGGGGGTGCCACTTACAAATAACATTAACTTGTTTGTACAAGTAAGTAAAGATGACCTTGGAGCCACATGGAAAATGAATAGGAATTTTTAATGTTATAAGAAGGTCCAGGATTATCATACGGTTGTGTGGAAAAAAGGCACAGGGAAAAACTAAAAACAAAATACAAAATCATTTTTTCTTCCTTTTCCAAACCATTAGTAATGCTTTATTTTTCTCGTGGTTAAAAAATTTAAGTAAAAATTACAGGAAGCATTTTTTGCTATAATTAGCTTTGAGGTAAAGGAAATAAGTGGAAAAAATATAATCTGGCATCAGGAATTTATACTGAACATGCACATGAAGGCTTTGGAGTTGGATGTACGTGATGGGAACCCAGCCCCACTTTTCTGAGTCTGTGACCGGGGACATGTGATAGAGCTTGAGTCCTTCGCTCTGTAAAACAAGAACACCCTGTTGTCAGGGAGTGTGAGCGCCTGGG